TTTATTTCGAAAATACTTATAACTCTTTCGAAATCTTTTGCGACTAACTCGGGATGCTACTCAAACTCATCTTTTCTAAAAATCTATTTATCTTTAAACTTAGTCTAATACTTCTTTAGACATAAAAAAAATAGATTTATTTAAACTTACATTTAACTATATCATATTCATACTTCTGAAATGATAAAAACTTGAAATCTGAAATTTATTAAAATGAAAGTTCAAGTCTTAATATGCGTAGCGGAAATACTTAAAAACGTGAATAATTATACAGACATATCAAGTTCATAATAAATGTCCACTGAAAGAAGTGCACGACCACCACCACCACATATCGAGCTCACACCTCCGGCCCGACCTTGTTACCTGAAAAACACAATGGGAGTGAGTACTGATCCTTTTGTACCCCGAAAACACCCATACTAAAGCAAACAACAATAATAATACAATATCATGATCGTTGGTATATAACTGGACTGGAAATCTTTTCCAGTAACTGAAACTGAATCTGGCCGATATCAGATCGGATACTTGTGCACAATCTGATGGATATTTCTCAAGGCAACTAAGGGCCTCCATCAGAACTTAGGATATAATCTAAGGCAATTGAATGCCTACTCATCCGAAGCTTATAAACTTAAACTGTATACATACCTCGGACATGATATCAATATTATACTCAATGTAATACCCAGTCTGGGTCCCCACCTTTCTTCTTTTGAAACTTTGAAAAGCGTAAGTGTTGTTCTTTGGTAGCTAACTCCTCAAGCTACATAACAATATAAACAAATGTACTAAGTATTATGCTCGTATACTCAATAATATGCTGGGATTCTTAACTCTACCAGATAACTTATCCGAATCTTAAAGATATTCATTAAACATGCTATTGCTCAAATAAATACTAAATCATTGAAAAACCAAACTTTTCTTAAACTTTTACTCAAGGTCAAATACTTAACCCATATAAATCATATCTTTCAAAATCATAGATATTGGCTTATACTCGCATGTCACTTAAATAACTCGTATGTGAAAATAAACTAAATTTCACATTAGACTTAATTGAATACATGAACTCAAAACATGCTCAACTTTTACCAATATCATCTACATGATTTATACAGATTTTTAATCTATTAAACTTGTCTTAAACTTGCTTGATATTAAAATCTCAAACTTGATACTTATTCAATACAAGTTTTTATCATAACAATAAATTATGATATTGATATACTAGACTTGAAACAATTTTATAAAATCACATACTCAACATATTGAGCTGAAACTTGGTCAAATTGCTCATCACTCATATAAGAATTTTTCCTAAAAATTCCATTTTAAAAACTCAACCATGTACTGAATACTCTTGCATATAAAATCATCTTGACATGTATGCCATATAAATATTTTAACTCGTTCATTTCTCAACATAAAATCATGAAATTTGGCAGTCATGTTCTTAACCCATATATAAGCATGTCGTAAAAATTTCATAATTTTATCATGCGTATATATCGAGTTATTACAATTTTAAAGTCACAGCTGAAATAAAGAACATAAAATTCAACTTGCATGCTTAACTTCAAAAATTTATAACTCAAGCTATACTATGCCAAATGACATAATTCTTTCACCTATATACTCAGCACTTACACAAGAAATATCCATAATAAGCTTAACATACCAGGTTATGCATATCATGCTCAAATTCAAATCAAAACAGTACATATATAACATGTGATTGTGCTGGAAACAACTTATCATTTTTTTTTTCATGCTTAAAATTTCTTTAAAAATTGAATATATATATATGGCATGAAAATACATCAATATTCACTTAATATAAACTATAACATATGATAAAAAGGTAGCATCTAACCTTCTTCAAGAAATTTGAAAATGAAACTTCGGAAGTTGATCTCAACTTATCTTCGTCAAGATTTCTCTCGATTTATCTCTCTTTCTTACCCTCTATAGCTAAGACTTTGCTTATTATGATGTGAATTTCGAGCCTATGCTGATGCTCCTTTATATAGGGTAGCAAAGGAGACAACATCACCTTCTTTACATCAACACTCCATCATAATAAACACCATAGGCCCCTTATCATTAATGTTTTTCTAAAATCTTGCACAAAGATGATTAAGCCTTGATAAGTACTTGTAATGCATGATTTATCTTGCATATATCAAGACAAACCTTCTCCCTTTGACCATGCCTCGAAATTAAGCTAAAATGGCTCATTTATCCCTTAAAAATACTTAGAAAAATTTTATAAAAATAAATAAAGATAAAGAATGGAAATCATAACTTGTAAACATAACAAATCTATAGTCAATACTTAGAAAGGCCCATCATGTGATCTTAATCTGATTTCCATGATAAAATTCGTGACTTAATGAAAAATTTCCAATTTACAGAACCGAATTCTGACTTAAAACGAACGGTTACCGAAAAATCGAAAATTCTAAAAATTTCAGATTTCCATCTTTTGCTTTTGGCCTTTTTCCTTTTTATGCTGAAAAATTTTAACTCTTATTAATGATCTTGAAACTTGTAAAAATACAAGAAAATAAATTTTTCGGAAACAAAATCGGACTTAATTATCGACAACAACCGAACATCGAAAAAACTCGAAACTTGCAAATATAATTTCGAATATACTCTTAATAATATAAATAGATCTTCTTGTCTAAATAACTTCTACTTAATCCTTATAACTTATCAATCAAATCATATAAGTCATATAAAATACTTAGGCAATTTATAACATTTACTCCACTAACTCAATTTAATGAAAAACGATTCCGAATTAACTTTAATGTCGAGCCAACTGAAAAATAAAATTCTAAGAGATATATTAAGGCTTGGAAATATAAAAGATCATTATTAATAAAAGTAAAATAGTTCTAACTTAGAACTGAAATAATTACTTTTATTAATTACTGAATGAGATATTACATATGTAAAAAAAAGACATGTGCTTCAGGCACTACATATAAATTTATTATTGTAGCTATCAAATAAAAGTCAAGGATATGCATCTTATTAAGTATATACAAGCAAACATAAATAATTTCAGAAAACTTGTATACTGATTCAATCATTGTAACATTCTGGTTACGTCACTTCATTAGAGTATATTGAATATGCAGAGCTGATCTAAAATCATAAGATCATGAATCTAAAATTCAACGAGATTATTTACTAGATCAATCTTTCAAAGATACTCGCTAGATAAATCTTATGCTATTATGATACTGGTCAACAGGACCAATCCTTCAGGAATAACCGTACCAAATCTAGGTCGGTATTCAAACTAACTAGTGAAACTTTTAATTATATAATCCTCCAGGGAAACTAAAATCGATAAGCATAAAATTCAACAGGATATTTGCTCTGCAATTCGTAATAAGATTAAAAAAAACAACTATACAAGTTGCACCACCATTCATGAGTTCATTAGTCAATTAGACTAAAGTTCAAAATATTCAAATTGATTTAGGCTCAATAACTTTAGGCCACGTCCATACTCAATGCATAAAACACCGACATAAAATCTGCAACTATAATTTCTAAACCAAATTCATGTCGTAATTGCATATTTTGATAGCTTCACCATATATATTTCAAACAACACATACAATTCACATGTTCAAAATTAATCCACATATGCTTCATGCGTAATAAAATTCCTGGACAAATATATGTGGACATTTTTATTTTATAACTCTTCAGGAGTATGACAATTGTAATATGAGAGATTTCATCACATAAGATATATAATATTTTTCATCATTCATCATCGAAAATAATCCTTATCTAGAGGATAATGTCTGCTAGACATATCTTACGCGTGTTACCACTTTCAAATCTTAACAAGTAATGTGAAGAATAATAGGATACATATCAAACAAGAGATGCTCATATACAAATAAGGACAATTAAATCAAGGAAATATATAGTCTTATAGAAAATAGACATTTTCTTATCATATATCTCATGTAAAAAACTATATACATTTGTACATGTGCTTCTGTTACTAATACAATCTCAATGAACTACTTTTATATCACTATTCTCAATAAAATCTATACATAATTTTTTTGGTAAAATTTTGCGGAGAATTTCCAGAGTATGCTTTCTCACATTTAATTTAAAATTCGAATCACACAACAAGTACGAGCTAAAGCAAAACAAGATAGTCACGACCAGTGTTCTAAAATTCGCTAGGCGCCTGCTAGGCGCTCGACCAGCGCCTAGGCGGGGCCTAGGAATCAATATTAAGTACTTTTATTTTTTATTATTTTTAACCACCTACAAAATAAACTATATCAACTTATAATAATTACACACACCTATGTCCAAATATTAATATTAATATATTTTAAAGAAAATATGAGAACAAGATAATATAATTAGTATTTAAAAAAATAGAAAAAAAACTGAAAATTTTCCGCCGAGCCCGCTAAGTCTGCCTAGGAGCGCCTAGGGCCGCCTAACCGATGTTTTCAGCTGATTTGTGCAAATCGGACGCGGTCGGGCACTGCCTAGCGCCTAGACGCCGCCTAGGCCGATTTTCAGAAAAGTGGTCACGACTTGTGACATACACACTTAGCCTTGCACAAATTGTTGCCCTTCGTGGACATCCAACATGATGACCAAGAAAATCGACAATTACACGAAGGTTCGTAATTTTTGAATTTAGATTTTATAATCGACAATAAATCTAACTTCTACTGTATATATCTATTTCATAATATACTGGTACTTATTTAGTAAGTTCGAATTCCAATTTAACGTTACAATATGATGTTGAATCGCGAGGGCTATAAAAAAAATCCGGAGTTAGATTGGCCATCCGATTCACTTACAAACTGAGTAGAAAGAAATGACTCGGAGTCCACCACCTCCACTGAAATCTCCTCCTCCTCCACCTTATATTTATAAGTCGCCACCTCCACCATCACCATCTCCACCACCACCACCACCATATCTTAACAAGTCCCCTCCACCACCATCTCCATCACCGCCACCTCCTTATGTCTATAAGTCTCCGCCACCTCCAGAAAAATCTCCGCCTCCACCTTATATTTATAAGTCGCCACCTCCACCATCACCATCTCCACCACCACCACCATATCTTAACAAGTCCCCTCCACCACCATCTCCATCACCGCCACCTCCAGAAAAATCTCCTCCTCTACCTTATATTTATAAGTCGCCACCTCAGCCATCCCCATCTCCACCACCACCACCATATGTTTACAAGTCCCCTCCACCACCATGTCCATCGCCGCCACCTTCTTATATCTACAAGTCTCCGCCACGTTCGGCAAAATCTCCTCCCCCACCTCATATTTATAAATCCCTACCACCACCTTCACCATCCCCACCACCACCATATATCTTCAAGTCTCCATCACCTCCACTAAAATCTCCTCCCCCTCCATCTGTTTATAAATCACCACCCCCACCTTCACCATCCCGACCACCTCCGTACATTTACAAGTCTCCACCGCCGCCTCCATCGAAATCTCCTCCACCACCTCTTCCTTCACCATCACCGCCACCTCCGTATGTTGATAATTCTCCTCCACTACCATCACCATCCCCACCTCCTCCGTACATTTACAAGTCCCCACCACCTCCTGTGAAATCGCCGCCATATGCACATTACTAAAGTTCACTCCATTGCTTCGTCTCGTGATTAATTATTAAGTTTATATATTGTGCTAATATGAATATTCAAATGTTTATTTGATTATCTCATGTATTATTTTGCAACACTTTATATTTCAATAAAGTGGGATCCAAATATTATCCCTATCCATGCTTGAGCATTTTGTTGTACTATTCTCGTTTACGTTTTCTTTGCACGAGCAGTAATATTGCACTGTTCTTATGATTTTAGTGTCCTAGATGAGAATCCCGGTCAAGGCAGTTTATTTGTTCCAACTATATACTTGAAAACTATCATTTTCTTTTTCTTTCCATGTGAACAAGTAATTGAGATGAATATATTTTTCTAGTAATAAAGAAAAAATCCCAACATTACGTAACCTTAATTTTTTTTAAAACACTTAGGGTAACGCATAATCCATTATGTATAGATTCTATTTTCTCAATATCAAAATTGCACAATGAGGAAAATTATTTAGCAAACTTAAATAGCAACTTGTTAAGTAACACAATTTATAGTCAATTTATCAGGTTGAATTTTACTATCTAAACACGTTTAGTGCTCAACTGTGAAAAATTAAGTTTTCTACACATTAGTTATTGGATTTTGGAAAAATAGGATAGTTATTTGGGACAAAAAAGGATAATAATAAAAACGAACAATTTTAAATAATTGGGGTCGAAATTGCCAAATATTATCAGAAGTCAACATAAATTCTAAAATTTTGTTGATTAACTTAATTTTAGCCAATATGGCTAATTATTTGTCGTTTTCAATTATTTGGCACTAATTTGCGTTTAGTAGTTTCCGTTTATGTTTTTTTGTGTAGTTGGTTTCGTGTAGTTGTGAGTGTTGTTATTCTAGCTTTGCTAGTATCGAGATTCTAGACGATCTTCTGACATGTTCTCTTACTTTTTTATCTGTAGGTTGTTCTATTCAGCTAGAGGTTGTGTACTCTCACATTTGTGCATTTTGATTTATAATATTATCTATCGTTTCGAAAAAAAAATACATGGGTCAAATGCATAATTTATAAAAATATATTAAATGTACAATGATGCTAAAAAAATTGGATAATATTGGGTGATAAATGCAAAATATAATTGTGATTTTAAGGGTAAAATTAATTTACTCGGACCAAATTATTAAATGTTGTGCCGAACAATTTAATTCGATGGACTTTGGTAGATATAGTGCAATCAGGCAGCCATTAAGGTGCAATGCGTGTAACGTTATTGTGCAATCGCGGTGCATAATAACAATAATAATAATAGTAATAATAATAATAATAATAATAATAATAATAATAATAAATTAAAAAAAATAGTATGCATGTAAATGAAATATACTGTGCAATCTAACACGTAAGGTGCAATTCGTCCAACACTATGGTGCACATTGTCGGTCTGTATTGTGCTTATTGAACCAACCCAATTTTTTGTCCCAGATCAAATTGAAAATGAACATAATTTATTGATTTATTCGGTTTGGTTAACAGAATCATCCTAAAATAATCAAAATAATTTTTTATTTATATAAAAATTATATTTAATATGTTATAAATTTTATTTATTATTTTTATATTATATTTGGTTGAAACAATTTGGGTTCAGTTGGTTTCGATCTCTATTGAGCAACCCGATAGTTGTGATAAAGTGCAGTGTGTCGTTATATAAATTGCAACGTTTTGTTTTATAAAGTGCAGTGTGTTAAAATATATAGTGAACTACTATAGTTTTTTCTGACGGGAGCTGTTGACATTAATTGCAGTATGGTGATAAAGTGAAATGTGCTGTTCTATAAAGTGCAACATCTTGTTTTAAAATGTGCATTGTTTTGATATATAAAGTGCACTACTTTATATTATCACATATAAATTCTGTATTTTTTGAAACTAGTTTTAGTAGATATAATTGTACATCGAATTAACCTAAATAATCGAAATAATTTATTATTTATCATTATACAATATATTTATTATTTTAATATTTTTTATAAATTAAAATTTACATACTAGAATTTCATCAAATTATTTATATTATAAAAATATATTTAATATTTATAATTTTGTTATTTTAGATTTTATCTTATTGTTCATTGACAAACAATAATGTGTACTCGTAGTCATTGGATCAGTCAACCGAATTAATAAAAACATTTGAAATGAATTATTATGTATATAATGTGTATTTTATTTATAATTAGTATACATTTATTAGAATTTCCACAAATTACAGATTTGTCGCTTGAACCAAATTGAAATATAATCAAATGTTATAATTTTGCAATTAAGTCCTTACAATTTATCTAATTTAAAAAAACTAAAATTACCCAAACCCAACTTCCTTTTCATCTACACCAACCACCGTCGGCGCACCTCACTGGCGCCGCCGCAAGTCGCAAGCACACACAGCTCCACACACACACNAAATTCAAAAAAAAAAAAAAAAAATAACAGCTGCTCACTCGCCGGCGTCCGCTTGTCGATGGCATTGGCGACCACATCAACGACGCCGGCTAAGGTGACGTGCTCCGGCGAGAATCGGGCGGCATGTAGGTGCACCGGAGAGGGTCGCGGCTTCTCGGCGGCTGAGGATGGCGGAGATGGGATTCTTCGGCGTCTGGCGGCGAAGCAGTTGTCACGGCAGCGGCGGCGTCTGAAGGGTGCAGTGGTCAGTGGACGATGGTCGGTGGTGTATTTCATGGCAGTGGTCTAGCTTCAATTCTCCAAAATTCTCGCCGTCGTCGATGGCGGCGATTCTGTGGTTGTCCGGAGGGTGGTGGAGGTCGCCGGCGGGAGTTTGAAGGCGGCGACCCGACGACCGACGGTGTGGAATCTGTGCGTGTGTGTGTGCGTGTGTTTTATTTTGGTGTGTGTGTGTGTGTTGTGTGCTAAACGTGTGTGTGCGTGTGTGTTATATGTGCGTGTGCGTGTGTTGTGTGTGTGTTAGGTATATGGGGGTTGATGTGGCATGATGATGTGGAGGATGATGTGTAATGTAATGACTAAAATATCCTTAATGAAGCTATAAATTTGACTTTTTTATTAGTCATTAGATCATTCGATTTAATGGTTGATCTAATGGCTACAATTTATTCTCATTTCTTTCACTAAGCACCATCTCATGTGAGAGCGACCCTATATATATATATATATTGAAATTGGAAATATTTTTTAAAACACCTAGCTAGATTATGAAATTCCTAACTATGATTTATTTTCTATTTAGTTGTCATATTGTTGTATGTTTTTTTACTTTTATCTCTTTTTTAAAAACTTAAAAACATTTTTGTATCTTATTTAGTTTGTATATATAATATTAATCAACCTTCGTTTTACAAGCTCAATATCGCACTCATAATGTATCTATAGGTTAAGAAAAAGTTTAAGTATTATTAAGTTTAATATTTTTTTGAAGTATTATTATGTTTATTATTTAATTGCAAATATAAAATGTACTAAAAGTTATTATTTAATAATGATTTAAAATAAGGAATTATTCTCAAGTTATTCATACAATTAAATATCAATTTATGTAAAATATATAGAATCGTAATTATCGCTCGCGGGTTTAAGAAATTAGTGATAAAAAATATAAAAATATTAGTAAATATTATTTCTCTAATCAAGTATAATCTATATTAAAATGATAAACAAACATCTCATTTGTAGAATTGTCATGTAAAATCATATTATAAATAAAGTTGGAGTCAATGTTTATCGCATGTTGACCTGATCTTAAAAGAAAGGCCAATGATATGTTGTTGTTTCGGGTGTAAGTAATAGAAAGAGGTTGAAAATTAGCTTTTGGGGACGACGAGTTGCCCGATCATCAAACTAATAATATTGTCTACAATGAAGTTTTTGATAATATATTGTCTTTTTCATGACGAATATTTTATGATTTGACAATTTCCCTACGTATTAAAATATTTTATTTATTAATACACTTCAGATTATAATATTCCCCAACATAAATATAGTCAGTGCATCGCACGGGTTACGTACTAATTGAATAAAATCTTCATAGACTAATTTAAATTATCTTTCATTCAAAACCAACCTAAAGCTGGTGATGAAAATAATTTTGTTTTTAAAATAATGTGTATATCTTATCACAAACTAATTTTATTAGAAACTATTTATGTTATACCTCGTCCAGGCCCACCTAAATGTGTTAAAAAATCTTATCATCGTTAAATCGTGTATATCTACAACATATTCTAAAAACAATTTTCATCTTATCCAGAATCTTGATTTTCTTGTATTGTATTCAAAATTCATATATTTATTGTCAAATTTACCCTTAATATCACGATCTTTGTCGAAGTTACAATTTAATCAAGACATCTTCACTATTGCAAATTATATCACAATCTTTAGTTTGTTGCAAGCAGCCTGAAAACAGTCATTGAAAAACTGATGTGGTCAAACAACAAACTGAAGATTATGATATAGTTTGCACGAGATATGCAAATCGGTGCACCAATTTGCAATAAACTAAAGATTATGATACAGATTGCACTAGATATGCAAATCCGGTCGAGGAAATTATATATGATATAAATTTGGCTTAATGGCGGAAAAATACACGACCTTTACTTGATTGGTCATTTAATCACGACATTTAAACCTTGGCAAATAAATACATGACCTTTACTTTGTTGGCAACCTGATGTGGCAACGGAAAGCTGATCTGGCAATTATTTTTAACGGCCATGTCACCGAGAAATCTGACTCAGCACACAGGAGCGAAATCATCATTTATTTCTTGGCAGTTTAATACACCACCTTTGATTTTTTGGCATCCCGATACACGAACTTAGTCTTTATTGGCAAAAAGCTGTCACATCAGCATTGCTCAATTTAATGTTAATGCATGCAATAATAATAATAATAATAATAATAATAATAATAATAATAATAATAATAATAATAGTAATAATAACTCTATCAACTTTTAATTATAAAACTTATATGCATTAAAATTAAATTGAGCAATGTTGATGTGGCAGCTTTTTGCCAACAGAGGTTAAGTTCGTATATCGGGTTGCCAAAAAACCAAAGGTGGTGTATTAAACTACCAAGAAATAAATGATGATTTGGCTCCTGTGTGCTGAGTCACATTTCTCGATGACGTGGCCATTAAAAAAAATTGCCACGTCAGCTTTCCCTTGACGGCTGTTAAAAGCGTTCGCCAAGAAAGTAAAGATCATGTATTTATTTGTCATGGTTTAAAGGTCGTGATATAATGGCCAATCAAGTAAAGGTCGTGTATTTTCCCGCTATTAGGCCTATAAATTAAGCTCCGTATATAGTATGGAAGAGCATCCATGACAATGGAGAGCAGACATGCGTCAAAATGGGCGAAAAAAAATAAAATAAAAACCCAAAAAGCCAAATTACTAGTAGTGTCTTGATCCACATTCGAACCTAGACACCGATTGGTTTATATTCCTCCCCCTCCGAAGATTGCTGATCTCCCTGCAGTGTAAACAGGAATTAATAAAGAAAACTACTAAAGTGACCACACAGTCGATTCCATCATCAAAAGAAGAGTTTTTGCATTGGAACGCATATTACTCGCTACACGCTTAGCAGGCTCCTAATTCATGTCGTTTTTCCTACTTTTTATGTACATAAATTCAACCCTTGAGACTCATAAAACACGAACCAATTTAAAAATATATACACTACTATATGCTCTTGTTGTGTCGATCTACCATTACCGATGGTCGATCTCTCTCTACAATATTTAATTTCAGTTTCAAATGCAAATATTTATTTGCAAGCCATAATCCACTTTATTCTCTTATTTATGACTAGAAATTATTACTCCTAACTATAATATTCCCATAAAACGACAATTAAGCTGCCTTATTATTGTGGTCCATGTCTATCGTCAGCAATATATACTTATTTCATGACATGTATATAAGAAATCTTATTTCATTCTGTTGTATAACAAAAATCATGAGATATATGAAGTGGGTGTCTTATTTAATATGGGGGAGTTGTTTTGTATGTTTTTGCACTTATTTTTGGTGTTTCCAATATGGTGAGTCGAGTCGATTTCGATTCTTACTTGCGTTTCTCAGTCCATTTTTGTTCGTTTATAGTAACTTTTAGTTTTTGAGTCATGTTTGTGTACTTTTTATTTCTCTTGTGCGTTTCGGTGTTTTGGTAGGTCTGGAAGGAAGAATGAGCCGATATTGCATTGTCCCATCCCGAGCTTTTATTTGTAGTGCAAGAAGCATGTGGTGGAATTTAATTGTGTTGTTCATGATGAGAAAAAAAGGTTGATAAGTTGAACCAAGATTTCAAGATGATCTGGTGTGTGTGCAATGAATTTGGAGTGTACTGGATCTCGAGAGCATGCCATGGAAATGTAACCTAGCCAGTCTGCTTGCGGGCAAACGAACTTAAGTTCGCGACCTCTTGAAAATTTGTGGTCTACACCCCGGACAGAGCTGGAGATTCGCAGACACGGAAAGTGTTCTTCCAGCCCACGAAAGAGTTTGGGCGCGACTTCGCTTGCATTTCACCCTGACTGCAAAAGCGCCAACGTACAACCTAGCTTGCACTTTACACATCTCTTGCCGAACTCGCGACATAAGCCAGCACTCTGCCTAGCCCACAAGTTCATCCACCAACACACCGCTCACACATGAAACTCGCGACGCAAGCGATCATTCAGGCGAATCCCGTGAGTTCATCTTCTCCAACACGCCTCTCGCATGTGGAACTCGCGATGCAAGTAAACGCCCAGGATCACCACGAGAGTGTCGCCCAGCGATCCACCTTTACCTCACGCACCAGCGCCCACGATTTTCACCTGCCACGCCCAGCATTCACGACTCGCGCGAGAGGCCTTGCCCAACATGCGAGTACCACGCCGCATGCCGAGCATCTGCCTATCAGACCAGGCCTGCGAGTTTTGATCCAATCTTTGTTCTTCGTGTACAAACTCACTTCCCGCGAATTTTTTGGATTGCTCCGTGAGTGCTTTCATTAAGTGCGCATATGTGTTTTCTGGGAATATATTGTTAGTGTTATATAATTAAAGCTTGGTTTTACATGTTATTACATATTGCTCTTTATGAATGAGAATTATGTTAGATTAAACAAGTTCTACGTTCTGTTATTCTGCACTTAGATAAGGTGGGCCATCATCGGGCGAACCGAAGATCATTCTATCAGTTACTTGCGAACAAGAATAGTTGTTCACAACCTAGATGAACATGAACACCCCATCCGAACGATTGTTGTGTCAACTGTACATTTTATCTTGACTGATTAGCTGCACTAGTACATTTATGTATTGAACAAGATCCCAGAGAGGAGAAGTTCATTTTATACTGATCGTCGTAAATGAACTAGGCCTCGGTTAATTACTACGTTCTCTTAACCCGTAAGATATTAAACAAGCAGATATATGTAATACATATTACTTTGATTCACTTGGGTGAGGTTCAGTTCGCTGGGTCAATATTCCTACTTTTTGGGTAATATTGCTATGTATAGGATGTGTTGTTAGGATATTTACGGTCACCATGTGCGTTAGTTTTATGATGCCCCCGGAGTGAGTTCATGAAGGATTGTTATGCTAAACCCTGCAGGTGGATTAAGTTCCCGCATAATAAGAATGTGATGAACGAGCGCTAGCTTCGGTAAAGTAATAATAAATTAATTAAATCTTGATTGTCAGTAATCAAATTAATTAATGGACATTATATCTTAAACATGGGGAGGTAAATCGAGTAATTATTATTGGAGTCTCAAATGTAATTTGGGCTAGGAAAAAGGAGTGCAATAATATAATGTTGGTGGTCCATTAATTAAAGGAGTGGGCTTGGCCCTCAGTTAATCTAATTAATTAAGGAGCCTTATTCCTAATTTCCTAAAGTATTGTAGCTCTATATATAAATCATTAAGCTAATGAGAAGAGAACCTTATCATTATTCATGTGAATAACGCCACCCTCTTTCATATCTCTCACAGTTCTCATTCGAGCTTTATCTTCTTCTTCTTGTTGCTCCGCTGGTACACGTTGAAGAAGGGTGTTTGAGTAATACAGTAGAAGATCCATAGGTACCCAAGACCCGGTGATCATCTACTTGCAGTAGATGAATCACGACCCAAAGGACGCGACCCGTGAACCGACCCGACGCCGCCAGACCAGCCGGAGATCCGCCGCAAATCACCATCCTTCGGCGATCTTGCAACCAAACTGGCGAGCCCCACGCGACGCGCGACCGAACCGACGAGACTCACGACACGAGCCGACCCATATGACCCGATCCCGATCGTGAGCCCGACACCTTGTTCGTGATCTAGTTCTGTTCTTGTGAGTGTACGACCATCCGGAAGATCAGCCAGATCGCCAAAAATTTTAAGCCGTAAGTTCTCTACGTCAAACCTTTAGATCCGCTGCGCATAGGTTTACGTTTGCTATTGAATTTGTGATTTTTACATAACGAGATCCTCACAGATCCCAACATATATATATATATATATATATATATATATATACTTTTAGTCCTTTAACCTTTGGCTCTAGTATTTGCCTTTTCATGCAATTTCTCTTAGATTTCCTTTTCTCTATTTTGTAATGTCATATTGGGAGCTTCAAGACTTATGTTTCCAGTGTTTCCGTTTGTAAGTAAAGTTTCAAGCTTTTCGTTTTGATTTCCCCCAAGCACACGAAAGAAGATTGAGTGTCTTGCTTATGGTTCATTTTTCGAATTTGTTCCATTTTTACGAGTGAAGTTGTTCAGAGTGAATATGATGTTTTGGTCGGAATTGTGGATGGACTCAGTTTTCGTTAAAGTGATTATCTTTTATTTTGTTTTGCTTATCTAGTATGGTTAGTTGGTTAAAGTTTGAATCTTTCAAGGCAAAAATCAAGACTTTATTTAAAGGTCAGTTATTTTGTAATTGGATGTTCCACTTTAGCTTTACTTATAAAATATTTTGCTTGTTTTCTCTCTGCTTTTGTTTCTGCTTGATTATTGAAGACTTCGTTTTAGATAAAGTTTAAACCTTGAGNAGGCAATCAACCAACTTCATAAAACTCAAAATCATAATCTGGTAACCAAATGGTTACAGCCTTACAAGCTCTACAAATGCAAAAGTTATCAGCACGAACTAGGTAATACCTATATCTATATGTAACAAGCCAACAAACCAAATAACCATAGTCTAATAACAAGTGGCAATAACAACATTACAATGCATAATCAATTCCTTAATCGTAGACAAATCAAAGCAGATCCCTTCCTTGATAACTAAACTGCTAGAAATATACTCAACCAATTCAGCAGAATGGAGAACAAGTGAAAAATTGCTGCAGTTATGGCTCTTAGCCTTTGTCAGACCCCAAATAATTGCTCTCATCCTTCCTTCTTTTTCCTGCAGAACTCATGGGAAAGTCTCCTGCCACTGAAAATGTTGTAATCCCTGCTGGTAGAAAGTGCACTCCACAAAAAACTCTCCTCCAGTGGATGTTGAAGCACTGAGAGTCATCACTGACTGACCTACTTCCTTCGAAAATTCATCCAGCTGATATTCATGTGGTTGTCCTCTGGTCTTGATTAAACTAGCAGGTTTGGTAGATATCCACTCCATCCACTCAGATTTAGCCTCTTCCACAATCTGATAATCATGTATCCAGTCCCCCTTATACAACCACTTGTTCCTGGCCTTCCACAAATGCCACAACCGAAAAGAAAATAACCCTAATCTCTCTTCTTTCATCACCAAATGGTTAGCACAACAAACATTAATCCACCAATTCTGAAACACCACAAAATCTACATGCTGAGAACACCAACTAATCCCACACAATTTCGAACAATTTTTAGCTCTCTGACAGTTGAACAGAACGTGATTCAAATCCTCCTCAACCTCTCCACATATAGCATAAATGGATTCAATAGACATACCTCTCTTCAAAAGTTGATCATTTGAGCTCAAGTATCAAAACCAGCATCTCCACAGAAAGTTCTTGATCTTATGGTTGATATTCAGATGCCAGGTTGCCCTCCACATCTTGAGTTTGATGAATCTACTCAAGATCCCACTCTCTACTACCCACTCTCATCAAATCACTCACCTTATCCAATCTAATCCTATCATCAGAAAAGTGACAAACAGGTATAAAAAAGGGTAATAAGGAATCCAAGGAAAAATCCATATAGAAATAGATAACACATCCTTTACTTTAAACCTGATATCCCCTAGAAAGAATTTCCTAACACTCAATAAGCATTTCCAAAACCAGGAATCCTGAGGCTTTGAAGCCACATAAAATAAGCTATCCTGCCAAAAATATCTACCCTTAATGACTCTACTAACAAGGAGGTTTGGTTGAGGAATTAATCTCCAAAGGTGCTTCATTAGCAAAGCATCATTAAAGGCAATGAGATCCTTAAAACCCAAACTCCCCTTGTCTTTGTCTCTCACCATCTTATCCCACTGATGGAGACGAGATCGCGATGGCGTTTCTACAGAAATATGATCGAATGCCTTCATTAATCTAATTATTTATTTTCTAGCCTTTTATTATTATTCTTTATTTTCTTTATTTTAGTTGGTATTTGTTCAAGTATTATTTTCTTGTTTAGCATGTTAGGAAACCATGTTAGATTGGGACTATTTATTCTCTTCTTTTCTTTTCAGTACGCAGACATCGTTGAAATAAAATACAGATTTTGAGATTTCATCTCTTATTTTTCCTTTTGAGCCCGTGTGCCATTAATAAAATCATGGTCCGTTATCGGTTCCTCATTCCCTGCCTTGACGATCTGTTGGACCAGTTGCATGGTGCTGCGGTCTTTACCAAGTTGGACCTCCGGAGTGGCTATCATCTGATTCGCATCCGACCGGGTGATGAATGGAAGACCGCCTTTAAGATCCGTGAGGGTCTTTTTGAGTGGCTCGTGATGCCATTCGGTCTTTCGAATGCACCCAGTACATTCATGCGGGTGATGAACCAGGCTTTACGGGACCTTATTGGGCGTTGCGTCGTTGTTTATTTCGACAATATTCTCATCTACAACCGGACTATGGAGGAACGCTTAGTTCATATTCGTTCGGTTCTTCGGATTTTACGTGATGAGTGCTTTTATGCGGCACCTCGGAAGTGTTCTTTTGTCATCGACTCGATTCTTTTCTTGGGCTTCGTTATTACTTCTGGCGGCATTCGCGTTGATGATGGCAAGATAACAGCTATTCTTGAGTGGCCCACACCGACTTTCTTCACGGAAGCTCGCAGCTTCCACGGCCTAGCCCCTTTCTTCCGTCGTTTCATCTCCCACTTCAGTTCCACTACTGCACCGATTACAGACTGTCTTCACGGCAAGACTTTCGTATGGACTCCTCAGGCAGTAGAGGCGTTTGCCCTTATCAAGGGCAAGCTTATGACCGCTCCAGTTCTGGCTCTTCCTGATTTTTCTATCCCATTCGAGCTTTCGTGTGATGCTTCTAAGGTTGGCATTGATGCGGTTCTTAGTCAGAATGGCCGGCCCGTCCCCTTCTTCAGGGAGAAATTATCTGGCCCTCGCCCGAGGTACAACACTTATGATGTTAAGTT